GGATCCCTCATGAATGGATTAATGCTCTCCCCGGGGGAGGGGGGAGTAATGAGTGAGTTCTCACTGGATTAGTTCCCGCAAGACCTGATTGTTTAAAGGATCCTGGCGAGTGCTCTCTCTCTCTCTCTCTCCCCCTCCCTCCCTCTCTCTCTCTCTCACCATGTGATCTGCTTGTACCCACCAGCTGCCTGCCGCTTTTCCTTTTCTGCCATGAGTAGAAGCAGCCTGAGACCCGTGCCAGAGGCAGCTGTCCCAGAATCATAAGCCAAATAAACCTCTGTTCTTTATAAATTACCTAGTCTCAGGTATTTCTGTTATAGCAACACAAAACAGACTAAAACAGGAGCCAAAGCTGGTTTTCCATGAAGCTAATAAAGCCTAAGCTTCAGGGCCCCTCACTTGCACTGGACCCTTTGAGGATCCCTAGGAGGGCCCTAAAAATGTGTTCATGTGGGCATATATTTCTGTAAAGTTTGCAAAGGTCATAGCAACAATTGGTTACTCTTTCCACTCCAACTCCACTCTGCCCCACCGTGTTCTGTAGCATTGGAGTGGCCATGGCACTCTGGGGATCCAAATAAAGGATGTTGAGGAAACATTTAGTTTGCATTTAGTAGATACTGTAGGAAGACTTCTAAGATGGCCCCCAGTTATCCCCAACTCCTTGTATTCACCACACCTTTATGTTACCCCCCTCACCTTTGAATAAGCTAGATTTAGTGATTTTGTTCAGAATGGCTAAAGTGATATGATAGCACTTCTGTGATTAACTAAATACCACTAACAACTGCTGAATGAATGTGGAAGCAGATTCTTCCCTGCTGAGCCTTCAGATGAGACTGCAGACCCTGGGTCAACACCTTAATTGTGTCCTCATGAGACACTGCAGAGCAGCAGACCTGGCTAAGCCATACCTGAATTCTCAATCCACAGAAACCGTAAGGTAATAAATGTGTGTTGTTTTAAGCTGCTAAATTTTGGGGTAATTTGTTACACAACAATAGTAACTAATACAATGCAATATAGTAATATTTGCTGTCACTTCTGTATGTAATTATTGCTAGCTGTCCTAGTGTAAGAATGGCTTCTAGAAATACTCCTAACATCTACTCTGCTGACTGCCCAGTCCGATCACCACTAATGGAAAACAATAGTACAGGACAAAAAGGTGGCATCGTAATATGAATTAATCCTACAGTGTTTAGCACGAGAAATATATGGAAAGTGGAGAAGAAATAAAATCAAAATATCCAGAATCAGAAGTTAGTTTGTGGGAAATTCTTCCAATCATTGGATGTGAGAAGGAGGCAGCCTCGATTTATATCAAAAGTGACATCTTCACCTGTCAGTATTATCTTCAACAATTCATTCTGCATAACTAAAAATGCACTATACATTTTTTTTTCTTTTTGACAGCAATCATATAAATTAACACTTATCAGAACTCCTGTGTTTGTAGGGCACAAATCTGCAGCGGGACTACAAATGGCAAGTATGTCTATGTGGAAGTTGAAAGTTTTATGAATCCCACTATAGGATCGCCTTTGAGCATATCAGATGCATCTTGTCCTCACAAAGTCTGGCAGTTCCAAAACAAATGGACACACAATTGACTACAACAGAGCAAATCAGCCTGGAAAGAAAAAAACTTTCGGTGACAAAACTCCTTGGTATATTAATTGGTAAACCAATGTAGATAATAATTTTTTAATTCTTGGATTTTTGATAATCCCATTAATGAGAGCGGATCATATAAGCAAACTCATTGGAAAATATTTACATTTCTTGATGATGTGGCACAAAACTTCACAGCGACTTCAGATTTCTAAAATTGGGCGGGTGGAATAAGACTTCGGACGTGAAGGGGAGGGTGATGTGGGGGTGTCTAGCGCGGCTGGGAGAAGCAGACTGCTGGAAATGAGAAAATAGAAAATTGGTGACGGGGCGGAGTGAGATGGTGTCCCTTCCCTCGGGAATTGGGAGTCGGTCCGTGGAACCTGGAAGGGGGAGTGGGTGGGACAAGAGACGCAAAGGAGGGAGGCAAGACAAGGATCTGATCAAGCCTCGTTTTATTGCCTCACACAAGCTTCTTATATAGAAGTGTAAAAAAGGGGAAGTAGGGGGAGAAAAAATAAAAAAACAGAAGTTGTTCAGAAGTCTTCTCAGAATCATCACACCCGAGCGCAGCTTAGTTCTTGTGGTCAGCCAACTAGATTTTAATCAGCAGTCATAAATGAGAGCATGCAGTTTTCACAACTTGCTAGGCCACAGCCTCAGCTTTT